TCGGAGCGGGGATGTTTACACAGCGGGGCCTGAATTCCAGCTCTATTACCCACGGGCTGTGGGATGCCGGCCGTGCTACTCAACGTCTCAGAGACTCAGTGTCACTGTCGGCAATGTGGGGAGTGGAATACCTATCTCCCAAGCTGTTTAAGATCAAATGAGTGAGTGAGTATGTGAGAGGTGCAGAACATGTAAGAGCTTCCAAAGTGGCCATGATTGTTCTCAGTACCCAGAATGATGGTGCCATCTAAGGGTGGGATTTGTGAGGGGTAAAAGAGGATCCAGGTTTTGAGTTAGGTGGTAACAAGGGTAACAGGAAACAGGAGTAACATGGTGACAGGTGACATGGTGCTCCCGGGCCCAAGAGAACTAAGTGAACTGGACAGATGTTGATTGGATGGGAAATAGGAAAGAAAGGTTATGAGATACTCAGATCATCCTGGAGATTTAAAACATAGGAATAATGACAAGTTTGGGATGAGTCTGGGGAAGTCAGTTTCACATGCTGAGATTGTATCCATCAGGGATACATTTGCAGAGAAAAGATGTCCCTCCAGCTTGTTAGCAGGAAGGCACTTATCCCAGCGTATTAGGTGGCTTACAGACTTGCCAAGAGGGCTGAATAAAGAGAATCCAGGCTGAGCTTTCGGGAACCACCTCTAATGCTACCCCTCACAATGGGGCTGCTACGGTAGTTGTTGTCTCTTCAACAGTCTTTCAATCAGGAAGCTGCCCCTTTAGAGCCACAACACGGCTGTTTCAAACAGGAAACCACCATAATCAGGAAGCCACTACTGCTGTCAGACCTAGAACCACTGCATAACTCCAACAGATCATGTCAGCAGAATGAATGCTCCTGTTCCTCCAGCAGATTCCCCCCACCTCCCAACCTAGTATCTGAATACTGGGGCCTCTGCAGATGCACCTGCAGAAAAACCAAACACCCCCCACAGCTGGCCAGCAGATTGGACAATGGGCTAAAATCTTGTTCATCTTGGACAACACACTTCTAGAGAGTTAGGAAAGTATATTTTAAGCCTTCCAACTTCTGGAGCAGGGAAAGTCATGCTAGAATCATACTTTGCCGACTGTGGGTTGTGACTCAGGACAACATCGTAAAAATCAATTCAGATGGTCACGACAAGTTTTTTTTTTTTTTTAGTCACAAGTGGTAAGTATTACTTAATGTAACCTTTGTCTTAGGGTTTTTTTTTTTTTCTTTCTTTTGGGTGTGTGTGTGTGTGTACATATCTTTGTTTGCAAATAAAGCATTTCTTCCTCTGAGCCATGGTAAAAAACAAAACAAAACAAAAAAACAACCAAAAAACTTTTAAGTCCCTACAGTAGATGTGGAGTGCCAATCTTCTGTTTTAAGATCTCAGAAAGAACTCATGGGTAGAACCCAGCGGCTACTGAATATATGGGGTTGAACTTTAGGAGCAATCAAAGCTAGAGATCTAGGTTACGCAGTCATGGGCAAGAAGGCATCATTGAAGCCAAGGGGAAGTTGAGTAAGCCATTCAGGGAGACTGGATGGAGTGTGAAGAGAAACGTGCGGGACAGACACCAAGAAATAAAGACATTTGGTTTTGAGGGAGAATTTTCTATCTGGGGTTGTGCTCAACTTCCTGCACTCTGCTATTTTTCATTTGCTTTCCAGGAAGAGAACTGGATCGAGGGAAGCCCCAGAATGCTCTGGAAAAACCAGCACCTGGCATGGGGGCCTGGCACCACACTGGCCCTCAGGACTGGTGTGTGGAATGCATGTACAGAGCACAGAAGTTCTAGGAAAGAAGGAAAGAGTTTTTTGGATTCCCAAGCTCCAGCTTATGCGCTGTGACCACAAAGGGGTCTAGTCTCACTAAAAGAGGATGTAGCTCTAGGATAATAGTTATAATTTTCAGGGAGTATTTCTGCTCTACAGAAAAATGGCAACAAGGAGTGGGAGCTGTACAGGAAGACATGCTCATTGTGGCAAAATCGGGAGGCAAACTAAGTGTTCATCCATAAGAGCTTGGCCAATCCAATATATTCAAACCATGAAATAGGATATTGCAGTTAAACAAGTGAGCTAGATCCACAGATGTCAGTCTGTAAAAATATCAAAGAATTTATATTACCTGAAAAATTTCAAACCACAAAATATGATATGAAGTATGATATCATTTATTGAAAAAAATTTCATTTATTGAAATTGTTAAAGCCATACACAATTGTACTATATATTCTTATGGGAAAACAAGTCTAAAATGATCCAAGTAAAGGGGCTGGGCAAACTTCTAGGTGGCTATCTCTGGGGAGGGTGGAGGGAAATGGATGGAGGAGTGAGGCTTTACTCTATCTGCTGTGTTTTATTTTTAGAAGGAAGCAGAAGCAAACATGGCAAAATATTAATAGTTATTAAATAAGAAGTGAGGCATGGGAGAAATACTACTTTCTGTTGTTTACATAATTAAAAATAAATACAACTGTACATACATTTTGCAATGCCCAGAGCAAGAATAAAGTTTCCTCCCCAACTGCAGTTTAAGCAGATGACCTGAAAACAATTACTAGGTGAAAGCGGGGACACCCTCTCACACACATGCACACACGTACATGCATGTGTATACACACATAGTACACACATGTGTATACAACACACATGTATGTATACACATATACTGATATAAACATACACAGATAGCTATACATACATATACACACATATACGTATAAATTCAGATTAAAACAATAAACTTTTATTTTTAAATTATTTCTTCAGTTTCTCAGAGATTGAACTTTTCCATATGGGGTCCTGGCCTTTTTCTGTGATTTGCCCGTGTACTGAATCCAAAGACTATTTGAGTCTCACATTTGAATGATAATCTTGGAGGATCTGAGTGGGGGAAAAGAAGAACAGAGAAAGTCCCCGAATGCTGGGGACCACCCCAGGGCAGGGGTAAAGAAGTGACCTGAGGACTTACAGGAAGGCTACAGAATGAGACCAGTAAAGCCTGGTCGGAAATCATGGAGAAGGGAGCCAAGAGGTTGGGCTCCACTGCTAGCTCAAATCCCAGCTCTGCTCTAACCACACGTGAGAACTTGACAAGTCTCTGCCCGCTGTCGGGCATGCATTCAACCACTGGCTTAGCTCATCAATCAGCATCTTTCCAGAGACGACACTGACTTCTCAATCCTCTTAATGCAAGCATCTTTCCAGAGACGACACTGACTGACTTCTCAATCCTCTTAATGCAAGTTCTAGAAGGCTCTCCTGTTTGGTAGATTCTGCACAACTTCCTTTAGCACTTCCTCCCTTTCAGGCCTGTTCCTGTCAATCCTCCTGGGTGTGCAGGGACCTCTTCTGAGCCAACCTTTGGGTAGCTGGGGAATTCTGAGAGGAAATAGGGTAGGTTAAGGAGGCATTGGTAGGTAATAGACAGATGGGGTGAACAAAAAGTTACTAAATGTGGAGAAGGAAAGTCTTAGGAATTCCCCAAGGGCAGGAACACATTTTGTCTACACTGACTTGTTTCTTATCAGTTTACACATTGCCCTTTTCTACACTTTCTGCAAGTATACTGTGTGTGTGTGTGTGTGTGAGAGAGAGAGAGAGAGAGAGAGAGAGAGAGACTGCAAGTGAGCTCTGGGTTTTTCCCTAGGGGACATATGTGTCGGGTAGCCTGAGTTCCCAGGTAGAGAATTATTTATTTTACTTGCACAGATGCTACCACATTCCCAGGGTCCTGGTTAACCCTCAGGGAGCAACAGAATCTGGTTTTGGGGCACCTGGGTGGCTTAGTCCATTAAGCATCTGCCTTTGGCTCAGGTCATGATCCCAGGGTCCTGGGATTGAGCCCCGCATCAGGCTCCTTGCTTGGCAAACCTGCTTTTCCCTCTCCCTCCGCATGTTGCTCCCACTGCTGTGCTCTCTCTCTCTGTGTCAAATAAATAAAATCTTTAAAAAAAGAAGAATCTGGTTTTAAGCTTTCCATCTTATCCATGCCTTATTATTCTCAGTTGAGTTACTAATGATTATTCCCCTTTATTTTTTTGTCTTGCTAGAGGACTCCTTAATGCTGTGCCCCCTGTGTCTTCAGCTGTTGGCTTGCAGGTCACTGCTTGACAGAGACTGAGAGCAGGAACCACTCAAGTATAAAAGTCAGGTGCCTCTGCTCAGAGAGATGAAATCTTTCTCAAGTTTGAATATGAGACAGTAGAAAATTTGCTTAGTGCACACAACCTTAGATTGCAGATACCTTCTCAAGAACGCGGGAATTGGCTTAAGCAAGGTTCATTTGTCCTTCAGAGTTCGGGTATAATTCAAATGCCAGGTGCTCTCTTACTTGCTGGTTTTGGGTCCTCAAAACCTGTCTCTGTGTTTATTACATACTTGGCTTGCTGAATTCAACACCTCTTCCAATGCCCGCTCCTCCCAAAGAATCTACTCATAAAAAGCATTAGGAGAAATGCAGACTTTACTGAATGTTTCATAGAGGAGACCAAGGAGGAGTTTGACATAGCACATTGCTCAGCAAATGACTTCAATTTTTCTTCAGCTCTTTTGTTTTTTTGAGTCCTTCTCATCCATACCAACACTGCTGGCTTTTTTTTTTTTCTTTTCTTCTTTAACACTTTTTCTAGTTTTTCTCTGACAGACTTTCCTGATTTCCTACATTTTTCTTTTCCCTGCCACCTTTCTTGAGAAAAATGCAAATTTTGCTCCATTCTTTTGGATGGCAGTAAAGGGTCCCTTTTGCTTCTGAAGCAGAAACTCTGGGGTATTATACTTCAAGCTCAATGGTCCTTTTCAACAGATAAGGTGCTCCTTCCAGAAAAGATGGATGCGTGTAAAGGTAGGTTGGTGTAGCTAGAGAAATCTCACAATTACCCCAATCAGGAGAGGAGGTTGCCATTGTTTAGAAGTCCTCATCATGTTCAGGGGCATCATCGTTTATCAACAATATTCGGGGCCCTTAATGGCCCTCCACAGAAATGGCTTCCTGAGAAGCGGAGCAGAGAGAGATCATGTGAGAAAGGACAGCAGCTGGTCCTGACCAAATGGCCACATCACCATGACCAGTGGACGCAGATGGAGTGTTTGTTGAATGCACAGCCCTTCCCTATAGGAAATGAGAGTTGTATGTTGTTGATGTGTTGTCAGTCTTAACTTGGACGGAGTCAAGCCTGGTCAGAAGGCTTTCCAAATTCCAGGAGGCCTCTTAGATTTGTATGGTCAGTTGGGCAGTCTTTTCTTTTATACATTTTAGATCCCACAGTTCACATCATTTGGGAAGGTACCCTGAACCTCCTCCCCAAATTCTGACTCCTTTGAGGTGACATGCGGCCAGATCCTACTAGTACCATCAGATTTATACTGGTGTGAGGTGAGGGCCTTCCCTTTGGCTGGGGGCTTCTACCTGTAATCTGAATTTACAGTTCTGGGACAAGACATCCTGGTCTTCTGAGATGGAAGAGATTTTGGAGAGATTCAAATCCAGCCCATTCATTTTTCAGACATGGATCCAGAGTTCCAGGGAAGGGACAGGAATAGCTCCAGGTCATACAGTGAGCCAGTTAGTGGTTGGGCCAGGGCATAAATCCAACCCTTCTGATGTCCATGTGGGGCTTTTCCCACATACTGCCTTGCTTCCCTGCTTTCTGTTTGAAAAACACTTCACTCAAAACTGTTTGCTTGTTTTTTTTTTAAACCCTGGAGCTGTATTTTTCCAAGAGACAGAAGGAGAAGCATATTATTTAATACCCTTTGTGATTTCAGTCTTGGTCTAGAGTTTTCTTTTTGCCCAAGTGTTTGGATTGATGAAGTACTGTATGGTAGAGAGTGGCTTTCTTCCTGAAGGCCAGAAGAAATGGTTCAGTCTGAACTACTATATAAGAAGATCGACAACACATTCTCAAGGGGAAAGGTGTTTGTATCCACATACTGGAATTTATCCACCTTGACTGATATGGTGGTGTTGACCTGGAGGTACTCCAGCAAGAATTGAGAGAGATTTTGGTATATGTTTTTGGTTTGTGCTCCAGACTCACACACTGTCACCAGCGTCTGCTTTTTGACGTCTTGGTTGATGAGAAGCTCCAACTTCAGGTCAACAGAATGTTCTGGGCATTTCACGAGAAATTGTAGTTGGCAAATGATGACATACCAGCCTGGGAACTGGATTACCAGATTCCCATCCTGATATATGACTCCACGAACAACGCCATCTTTGTTCCAAGACAACTTGGATTTGTTTATATGCTTTGACACTGGAGAGAGAAGGACAAAAAGAATTACTGGGCAGATCAGAAAATGTGAAGTTTTTATTCAAGGTTTCCCATCCAAGACCCGTGTTTTCTAAAACATTGCCTGCTGTTCTAACCATCTGGAATCTCTTCCATGTTACTTATTTTAGGTGCTGCTTAATATTCAAGGCACAGGTGCAAAACTACCCCTGTTTCTCTTCTCTAATGCTTTAAGCTGGAGGATCAAAACACATATGGAAATGGAATACTACCTCTTATAGAATTATTTTCCACTTATATATTATATTATTATATTATTATTCTGTTATTACTATAATTATTAAACTTCCCCTTTTCAGACCCTGTGCTCCTGGACTATATTCCCCACAAGTTCTGGACTATCATGTTCAATCAATCAATCAATCAATGTTTCATCACTAAGGGGCTACTAGTTTATAGGCATTGCATCAAGTATCTGAGATAGGATAATCGGTTTTGTTCAATTAGTAACGAATTTAGGCATCAAGATATCCAGGAGAATCTCAGTCTTTATGATTTTCACAGCAAGATGCATCCTTTAGCAATTCATTGTCTCATTTTTTTTTTAAGATTTTATTTATTTATTTGAGAGCGAGACAGTGAGAGAGAGCATGAGCGAGGAGAAGGTCAGAGGGAGAAGCAGACTCCCCATGGAGCTGGGAGCCCGATGTGGGACTCGATCCCGGGACTCCGGGATCATGACCTGAGCTGAAGGCAGTCGTCCAACCAACTGAGCCACCCAGGCGTCCCAATTGTCTCATTTTTTTTAATGTCTTCCTTTGGGCAACCAAACATAATTGTGTAGACCCCACCAGTGTTCAGTAAGGGGATCTTCCCAGCTGGGGTTTTTAGAAAGCAGAGGATGGGCAGACCGTGTGGGCCGCTATCTTTGCGTGGAAAGCCAAGTCTCTGTGAGTCCAACAAGTGAAAATCAGCACTGATTAGTCAGGGTGCCTTTCAGAACTGGAAAGCTGGCCTTCGTTTTAATTGCCTCCATGCCTTCCCTTTAAACCTCGTTGCAATTCAACTGAAGAGTGAGAACTAATCTAGCTGCAAAATTGAATTTTTAAAATGGGCAGAATGGCTATTCAGAGAATCTTGGCCATCCTCTCCAAATCTCAGCTTTCCCAGCCTAAGTGCCTCAAATTATTTCCTTTAGAAGGGGCCTCTTAGCTGAAGCATACAGCCATATGCAAATGGACTATGTGCTGACATGTTCATTAAGTTGTCAATCAGGGGACAAGGCAAGTTCATGGTTCCCTTGTGAAGAACCTGACAGAGGCAGAGACAAAGAACTTGCTTCTCCTCCATGAGGAAAAGTACTGTGCACTTGGCTCCAGACTTATACGTGGCTGAATAGAGAGGGGGCCCGAGGGTCCGACACAAATGCCTTTGGAGGCCAGGTTGACAACACAGAAAAGTGAAGGAAGTTTTAGAAGGCCACAGGAAGTGGCCCTCAGATGGCTAGAGTTCCTGGATTCATTACTGACCTTGGAGGTAGGCCCATGACTTCCTGAATGGAGACTTTTCCAGTACACATGAGATGTCCTCTGAGCAATTTCCTAAAAGTAAGGAGATCACACATTAAATGTCTTTCTCTGCTCTGGGTACTGGGGACACCAGTTCTTTTTCCATGACACTTGGATGGAGACAATTAGTATTCTGTTTCCATTTGGGAACCTGTTTGTTTCTCATTTTGCCATCACATACTTTAGGGTTCTTTGGAATTGGCTGCTTCCACAAGGACTGGAAGTTGGGGGAAGGAAAGCAAAGATGACTTGAGCTCCCCTAGGTATCAGGTGCCATTCCTGTCCCTACTTACTTCACTTCACTCTTGCAGCAACTCTACGAGAGTGGTATTATTAAGTCCCTTTTACAGATGGGAAAATTTCTGGGCACCAGACAGATTAAGTATACTGTCCCACCTTACTCAGCCAGGCAGTGGTGGTCAGAACGAAATTTCCGGTAGTGATTACTGCAATCCTGCCTTCGAGAGTACACCAGATACTAATCTGTGCACTTTTACATGTTTCTGCTGATCGAATTTTCCAACTAACTCTGCAAAGTGGATGTCCTGATGCCTAGATGGAGTCAATGACACAAAGTCAAGCAAGTTGGTGGTACCGTTGAGATTCACCCCCATGTCTATCTGATTCCAGAAGCCAGTTTTCTTCCTCCAAGCCATCTGCTGGACAGTGGAGAAAAACACATTCTTGTACTCAATTTTAAGAGGATATAGGATTTAAGAGATCTAAGTAGGAAGCCTGCTATCTGGAGCTTCCTTGGCAGGGGAAAAAGATGGTGTTTATGTCATCATGGTATTTAAGAAACAAAAATATTTTTAATATATGCACCAGTGATACTGGCTTAGGAGCTTCTTATGGAAATTATTTTATATGCAAAGAGCCAAGTTATACATTTCCTGCAGTGACTCATGAATTCAACTTACTCTGGGTGAATTCCTACTTTTCTTCGGACATTGGTTTCCTGTCTATGCAACTGGGAGGTCTAAGACCTGACATTGACATCTTTTTGATGATGTCATCAGAGTGACCATTCATTCCATCCATCAGAGATAAGGCAGCCATGGGCCTGTTGGGTTGAAGCAGCCACATCCTGATGTGTTTGCTCCCTGGATCTCTGAGTGGTATCTATTGGGCTCACAATATTCCACTTGCATCTCTGCCCCAGGCCTGAGAAAATCCCTCCCAGGCCTTCCTCACTTCCCCACAGGAGCCTTGGAGAGGTTGGAAGTTAAGCAAACAGTTCCCTCTGCTGTCTGAACTAGCTCACTGCTAGCAGCAACCCCTGGAGAAGCAGGCCTCGGTTTTGATCCTTGTCTGTCCTCCACCCATAGATGCTCTGGCCCAAAGTGTCTTCTTGGTGATGAGGGCTGGTAGACCAGTTGCCATTTTTTGATCCCATCTCTTTACCTGGCATTCTTGTCCTGCCTACTTCAGCCACAGCCCACGCTCTTGAGGGACTACATTCAGGGATACAACATGGGGCGGGGGGGTGGGGCTCATTTTCTAATGCACTGTGAGAGCTGTTAAGAGAGGTCATCCCTGGCCAGCCTCCCCTTTTTAGGGATGTGGAACATAGAGTCAGAAAACATTGCAGCAAAGGCAAATGTGGCCTTATCTCTTTTCTGCTGGGAGTCTCTTAGGGACTTCGCTATCCCTGCTGGATCTGGGCCAGATCCTCCATAGAAGTTCACCGTCCCTAGTGTTCTGTCCCTCCTGCATTCTCTAGTCTCACTCCACCTTCCCTCCTTCCTTTGTACTCCTGATCCCTACAGCAGGAGCAATAATGCAGACAACAAAAAATAGCTAACACAGACTGAGTGATGGCCATTTTCTGGGTTCTCTGCTAAGTATGCTACATTTGATCTTTCACTTAATTCTTATAGCCACCCCATGAGAAGGGTACTACAGTGATTTCTTTCTTTCTTTCTTTTTTAATGGATGCACATAGATTTTTAAAAAATTATTATCAAGATATAATGTATTATTTGTTTCAGGGGTACTGGTCTGTGATTCATCAGTCTTACACAATTCACAGCACTCACCATAGCACATACCCTCCCCAATGTCCATCACCCAGCCACCCCATCCCTCCCACACCCCCAATTCCAGTGACTTCTGTCTTGTACATAAGGAAACCGAGGCTTTCAAAGGTTAATGACTTGTTCACATTTGCACAGCTCGTCAGTGGGAGAGTGAGGTTCAAACCCAGGTTGTCTGACTTGAATGGCCCGGGTCGATTGCTGACGACTATACTGGTGTTTGGGGACACCATAGCCCCCAAACATGCATATTGATTTGCCTCTCCACCTGGAAGCCCCCATTTACTGGGAAAGTTATTCCTTATTTAAAGCATGGCCTCGAAATCCTCTCTGACCTTCCCTCTGTTTGCCTATTTGCTTCCTCCATTAGACTATGAACCCTCAGAGCAGAGACAACTATTTCTATATCCCCACTGCTCAGCCCAGAAGATGCTCTGTAAATGTTTATTGAATTGAATCATCTCTTCTCTCCCTCTTACTTCCCTCTGTGGACATCAGCCGCGTTCTGGCATGAGTGAGGCTAAATGGGGATGCTTAGTTTGCCTTTCCCCTTGGGCTGGAATAACACCTTGCTTCATTCCCCTGTAGTTCTTCAGATTAGCATAGATTAAATGGGAGGAGAGGACTCATGCCCTAGGCTGAGGCCAACACGTGATGCCAAGACCAGGTTGTGCTCATTGGCTGGAGGCCCCCCTCACATCATGTCACTTGTGGTGGCATCTGTCAGGTGACTTCCGTAGACAGCAGGTGGCCGGAGAAGGACAAGCCTGGGCTTGCCTCTCACACATGCGGGTTCTGTTTTTCCTTTCCCCTTTGGTCTTTGTATGTTTGGTTGGTTGACCTCAGCTGTAATTCTGAGAAACCCAAGGATGGAAAAAAAAAAAAAAAAAAAGAACAAGCCTCATTCTGAAGCATTCGCATTTCCTGAAGTCAAATGGCAACGTGTATTTTAGTTTTTCTTTAAGAATCTTTTCAAGCAAAAAGTGGTTTCAAGCAACAGGATAAAAACAGGTAACCCTCTCCACGAATGGTGTTGCTGAAGCTGCCTGAGGGCAGGGGGCTGGGAAAGGGGACACTGGAGAAGCTGTTGGTGGAAGGGGGCGGCTGCATGTGGAGAGGAGCCCAGAGGAGGGCATGGCTGTTCACGATTCACATCTGACGACTGTCAGCAGGAAGGAGGTGCAGCCTGCTCCGTGGGGCCCAGACACCAAGGCTTTATGTGGAGGTTTGAAGAGATGAAGCACTTGGTTCCTGACTAGCATTGCCCTCGTCCCCATTTCTTAGACGAGGCAATAGGAAGACCTTCTCTAAGACACACATCACACTGTAAATCACAGAGCTGGCTGCTCAACTCTTTGACCAGTTAGTGTTATTCAGAGCTGTGCTGGGCTGTTTTGAGGGTCATTTCACCAGCCATGTGTCACCCTCTAGGTCCGTGATACAACTTTCTCTTTTGGTTATGAAAACAGGAAGGAGTGATTTGTAAATAGGTGGTGGGACCTACGCAGGAAGCCTGTGATGTGCCTGGCATTTTTGAATGCTGGGAGCATGGGCAGCAAAACATCTCCTTTCCCAGCTGAGTGTGCTGTCTAGAGGGGTTTAGTTGGAAGAACTTACCACTCAGCGTGGGATAATGAGAAATGTTTGCAAGTCATGGCTGAGTTGGTGGCCTGGGAGTTAGAATCTAGGAATCTTCCCTCTCTGGGTCCTAGTGTCCTTAGCTAGATGAAGAGCAGTGTGGATTTGATGGCCTAGAAGGGCCCTTCTAGTTTATTCTAGCAGGCTGTGTAGCCTCAACTGTACATGGTCAGGCTTGCTGCAGCAGGGGGAATGTCAGTCCCAGTTTCAACAGTCTGTCCTTGTGGGCATGTTGCTCTAACCCATCTAGGAGACTCTCTTCACATATTTAAGTCTCCAGACACCCACAGTGGTAGAACAGAATGTTTTAGGTCTGGGGTCAATTTAAGTTATGAACAGGCTGGTTCTGTAAGTCTTTGCATGGCTGGTAGAAATGGAAGTTCCTGGAGATGTTACCCAGTCCAGGCTTGGTAAACATATAACCTATGTGCTCTTCAATGTTACCCCCATGGCTGGCTTGTCCTAGGTCACCCCATGAATTAGTGACAGAAGTAGGACCAGAGCCTGGACACGTTACCCCTTCTATGGAGCATTCCATCTTTCAAACAACTTAAGTGCTCTGTGAATTTCTCTGAGGACCAAGGCCTTTAGATGGGCAAAATTTATAAGCCCAGACTTGGCCTTCTCTAGGATCATGGAACTTTTCTGGGAATTGTTTGGAAGCCTGGAGAGAAGCATGTGTCAATAAAATCCTCTTGGCCACTTTTACAGAAGAGAGAGCTAGAGAGAGAGAGATGTTGCCTAGGATGCTTGAAAAGACCATGTTCTAAGGGCACCTGGATGGTTCAGTCAGTTAAGCAGCTGCCTTCGCCTCAGGTCATGATCTCAGAATCGTGAGATGGAGCCCTGCATCAGGTTCCCTGCTCAGTGGGGAGTCTGCTTCTCCCTCTGCAAAACCTCCCATTCCTGCGTTCATGCTCTTTCTCTCAAATAAAATCTTAAAAAGATAAGAAAAGACCATTTTCTAGGAAGCAGCATAATGGTAACCTGAAGACTGGACACTGCCTTGGGATCTTAAAATGTTAGACTTGAAAAGGCCATTTGACACAAACTTAACCAAGACCCTGTTCTATGAGTGGGGACATTAAGCCCAGAGGAACTGATGGTCTGGCCCAAGATGGTTTCAGAAGACTGAGAGTCTCCTGATGCTTAGTCCGGCCGGGGCTCTGTCCTCCAGTTAGTCCTTCCATGGAGGAGGAAGGGTTAAATGAAGGAAGAAGTGGGTTTGCAGCCACCATGCACACTGGGCTGAAAACTGATGAGACAGCTGGAGGTGCTGGGAAAAGATGGCTAATGAGCCTTCTGGACTCCCTCTCGCTGATGAATGCCAGCAGGTGATTTTAGGACCATGTGCTGAAC